TGATTGTTATAGTGATTGTTATAGTGATTGTTATAGTGATTGTCATAGTGATTGTTATAGTGATTGTTATAGTGATTGACATTGTGATTGCTACAGTGATTCTTATAGCGATTGTTATAGTGATTGTTATAGTGATTGTTAAAGTGATTGTTATAGTGATTGCTATAGTGTTTGTTATAGTGATTGTTATAGTGATTGACATAGTGATTGTTAGATCTATTGTTAGTGATTGACATAGTGATTGTTATAGTGATTGTTATAGTGATTGTTATAGTGATTGTCATAGTGATAGTTATAGTGATTGACATAGTGATTGTTACATTGATTGTTATAGTGATTGACATAGTGATTGTTGTCGTGATTGTTGTAGTGATTGTTATAGTGATTGCCACAGTGATTGTTATAGTGACATAGTGATTGTTATAGTGATTGTTATAGTGATTGTTATAGTGATTGTTATAGTGATTGTTATAGTGATTGTTATAGTGATTGTTATAGTGATTGTCATAGTGGTTGGGGATAATGGTGATGGGGATAATGGTGGTGATGATGGAGGTGTTGGTGATGGCAGATAGTGGTAGTGGTGGTGGTGTTTGTTAATGAGGATAGTGGTAGTGGTGGTGGTAGTGGTGGTGATGATGGTGGGGTGGTGTCATGTAGGATAGTGGTGGTGGTGGTGGTAGTGATGATGATGATGGTGGTGGTGTTGGTGATGTAGGATAGCGGTGGTCGTGGTGGTGATGGTGATGGAGGATAATGGTGGTGGTGGAGGTGATGGTGACGGAGGATAATGGTGGTGGTGATGGTGATGGAGGATGTGGCATGCAAAGAGTACGTAACCTTTATTCGGCGCATGTACACACCCTCATTTACAGGCTATCTCCCCCAACCAGCGAACCTGGTGACTGAGGATTGACGATGGGGCCCCGTCGTTCAACCAGTACCCAGGTTTCAGAAGATGGTTTTGGCAATCACAGAGCTGATGTGGGTACCACTCTCCTATCTGCCCTTGTCATTCCCATTCTAGAGCTGGTTGAAGCACAGTCTGCTCTCTAGTGGCTTCTATTCTGCCTTGCTTACCGTGGAGTGCACTAATACCTATCACTGTGCATAGTGTATATAGTGTACATACTGCTGTTCTAAATTGGTGAAGGATAATACAAGTCAAAAGCTTTCTGCTGTGTTTATTTTGCTCCCTTTTCATCCAGGATAACAGGCCATTTGGACTCCTGGATTGTAATAGAGGATAATGGTGGTAATGATGGTGATGGAGGATAATAGTAGTGGTGATGGTGATGGAGGATAATGGTGGTGGTGATGGTGATGGAGAATAATGGTGGTGATGATGGAGGATAATGGTGATGGTGATGGAGGATAGCGGTGGTTGTGATGGTGATGGAGGATAATGGTGGTGGTGATGGAGGATAATGGTGGTGGTGATGGTGATGGAGGATAATGGTGGTCTTGATGGTGACGGAGAATAATGGTGGTGATGGTGATGGAGGATAATGGTGTTCTTGATGGTGATGGGGATAATGGTGGTGATGATGGTGATGGAGGATAATGGTGGTGGTGATGGTGATGGAGGATAAGGGTGGTGGTGATGGTGATGGAGGATAATGGTGGTGGTGGTGGTGATGGAGGATAATGGTGGTGGTGATGGTGATGGAGGATAATGGTGGTGGTGGTGGTGATGGAGGATAATGGTGGTGGTGGTGGTGATGGAGGATAATGGTGGTGATGATGGTGATGGAGGATAATGGTGGTGGTGATGGTGATGGAGTATAATGGTGGTGGTGGTGGTGATGGAGGATAATGGTGGTGGTGATGGTGATGGAGGATAATGGTGTGGGTGGTGGTGATGGAGGATAATGGTGGTGGTGGTGGTGATGGAGGATAATGGTGGTGATGATGGTGATGGAGGATAATGGTGGTGGTGATGGTGATGGAGTATAATGGTGGTGGTGATGGTGATGGAGGATAATAGTGATGGTGATGGAGGATAATGGTGGTGGTGATGGTGATGGAGTATAATGGTGGTGGTGAAGGTGATGGAGGATAATAGTGATGGTGATGGAGGATAATAGTGATGGTGATGGAGGATAGTGGTGGTGGTGAAGGTGATGGAGGAGAACAGTAGTGGTGATGGTGGTGGTGTTGGTGTTGGTGATGTGATGGTGGTGGTGTTGGTGGTGGTGATGGAGGACAATGGTAGTGGTGGTGGTGGTGGTGGTGGTGGTGGTGGTGATGATGGTGCTGGTGGTGGTGGTGGTGGCTGATGGAGGATAGTGATGGTGGTGATGAGGATATTATGGTGATGGAGGATAGTGGTGGTGGTGGTGGTGGGGTGGTGGTGATGATGGTGGTGATGGTGGTGATGGTGGTGGTGGTGGTGGTGGTGGTAGTGATGGTGTGTGGTGGTGATAGTGGTAGTGGTGGTGGTGGTGGTGGCGATAGTGGTGGTGGTGGTGATGGTGGTGGTGGTGGTGATGATGGTGGTGGTAGTGGTGGTGGTAGTGGTGGTGGTGGTGATGGTGGTGGTGGTGGTGGTGATGATGATGGTGGTGATGGTGGTGATGGTGGTGGGTGACGACAGGTGTCTGGTGGTGAACTAAGTGTGTCTCCTGACACGGGAGTCTCTCTCTCTCCTCACACCTGAGTGTCTTTGTATGCACATCCTCCCCTCCCTCATTCCCCCTCCCTCATCCCCCCTCCCTCATCCCCCGTTTGCATCACTCACACTTTCACTGGCTTCTTCTTTTTTTCTTTTCTTATGATATTGCAAGATATCCGGCCAGATTGTCGACATCTTCACGTTCAAGTGGAACCAGGCTATCTTCTTCCCGACGTCTGTTTTCTTGTACCTGCCACTGGCAACTTTACTCTTTATGTTATTGATAGTAAGGTTAGTCTGGCGGGCCAGCAGGCCAGTAATGTAGACGTCGTCCACCCACAGGTAATTGACTCTGGTGGAGGCCTGCAACAGGCTGGGCAGGTACTGCGTCGCCAGTACCCACACTGGCCCCTGGCAGTAAGAAGGGTACCAGTTGTTGGAGAATTCTTCTTTAGTTACCTTGTACCTGCCTCTCCGATTCACAGGCCCCTTCGTCAACTTGCATAGGAACTGTTTGTGCGAGGTGTTGAGCTTCTGCAACACCTCCTGCAGAAGGAAGACGTCTATCAGGAGATCATCGTCGGCATGCAGTGTCCAGGGTACGTGGCCACAATGACGGGATACCCAGTTGAGGGCAGACAGGGCCTTGTAACTGAGCAGGTGATAATCGTCAGCATAGTCTCCCTGGAAACAAGTATATTCTTAGAATTGGATACTCCATTAAATAAATGTCGACTGTCGTTCAGCAGACAGAGGATAAAATCTTCACTACGTCTTGTGCTGAATGACCCATATAGCGCTTAACATGAATAAAACGAACATTAGGATTAAACTCTATATAATCAGCAGTTACGTTAAGCTCAGTTCTTTCGTTGACCTTTGACTCTGTTCTGTTATCAATGTGTTGTGGTTATGTGTTGTGCTTATGTGTTGTGCTTATGTGTTGTGCTTATGTGTTGTGCTTATGTGTTGTGGGGAGGACAAATATATTTCTCTCACAGGGAAGATCTTAGACCGTAGGGGCCATACAACGCCTTCAGAAATGGAAGGCAATCATATTTGATCCATGAAAAGGGATCCAAATCTTTGAATCAATAGTTACTTTTAACGGCAACAAGACACCTCGATCTCTAGCTCACTCGTCTCATACACTGAGGTCCGGAGTTCAAATCTCCTTCGGTACTGCTGGAAAACATTAGGGACGTGTTTCCATAAGACACCTGCTGTCCCTGTTTACCCATCAGTGTAAAATGGGTACCTGGGTGTTAGTGGACAGGTGTGGGTCGCATCCTGGGACAAAACTGACCTAATTTGCCCGAAATGCTCAGCATAACAAGCGGCTTTCTATATAGTAGTATGTCATTGATGTCAACTATGGTCTGTATACCTTGTACTTGTAGAAATAAAGAAATAAAAGGGCACAATTGCAAATAATGTGACATTTTATTGTGGCAACGTTTCGCTCTCCAGGAGCTTTGTCATTTGTGTCTTTTACCTAACATATTAATACAATAATTCCCTCCAGTCTGATATCCAATGTTTCCTTACCTAACTCGTTTGACACCTTCATTACCTTACTCTTATCTATGTTCACTTTCAATTTTATTCCTTTACACACCCTCCCAAACTGGTCCACTAAACTTTCCAACTTCTCTTTGGAATCTCCCAAAAACACAGCATCATCAGCAAAGAATAACTGTGTCAACTCCTATTTTTTATTTGATTCTGCATATTTTAATCGCATCCCTCTCTCCAGCACCTTAGCATTTACTTCTTTTACAACCCCATCTATAAATATATTAAACAACCATGGTGACATTACACATCTCTGACTAAGACCTACTTTTACTGGGAAGTAGTCTCCCTCTCTTCTACACACCCTAACTTAAGCCTCACTATCCCCATAAAACCTTTTACAGCATTTAGTAACTTACTACCTATTCCACACTCTTGCAACATCTGCCGCATTGCTTCCCCATCCACCCTTTCAAGTGCATTTTCTAAATTTATGAAAGCAACGATAACTTCTCTACCTTTATCTAAATACTGTTCACTTATATACTTCAATATAAACACTTGGTCTGCACCTCCCCTACCCATTCTAAAGCCTCCTTGTTCCTCTACAATCCTACTCTCCATCTAATTCTTTCACCCTACCATACACTTTACATTGTATATTCAGTAAGCTTATTTACCCTATAATTTTTAAACTCTTTTGTCCCACCTCCCTTTATATGAAGCTATGGATGCTCTCTGCCAGTGCCTAGGTGCCTTCCCCTCTTTCATACATTTATTGAGCAAAAGTACCAACCACTCCAACACTGTATCCCCCCTGCTTTTAAGATTTCTGTCATGATCCCTTCAATTCCAGCTGCTCTACCCTCTTTCATTCTATGTAATGGCCCAACCCCTCTTCAGATTCGGGCCAGGGGGTTCCAACCAAAAATCCCCCCCAAACCCGTTTTGGGGTCGGGGTAGGTTCTGAACCAGGAAAAAAACCCACCGGGTGTCCCAGGACCTTCTAGAATCTCAGGAAATACCCCCGGGTGTCCGGACCTTTTTAAAAAAATCGGGGAAAAATATTCGGGGCCCAGACCTTAGAATATAAAAAAAAAAAATACTCCGGGGTGTCCGGGACTTTAAAAAAACTCGGGAAAAATTCCGGGTGTCCCGACCCAAAAAACCAGAAAATACCCCGGTTCCCGGGCCCTTCTAAAATTTATCAGAAAATTCCCGGGTTTTCTCGGACCTTCTAAATACTCGGAAATACTGGGTTGTTTCCCCGGACCCCTTCTAAAATTTCCCTCAAAAATTTTCCCGGGTTCCCGGTTTTTAAAATTTTTCCCAGGAAATATCCCGGGGGTTCCCAGGCCCTTTAATACCGGAAATTTCCCGGGTTTTCCTAACCTTCTAAATATCAAAAATACTCCGGGTCCCGGCCCTTTTAAATCTCGGAAATACCCCCGGGGTGCAAAACCTTCTAAATACCGGGGAAATATCCCGGGTTCCCCGGACTTTAAATACCGGAAAATATCCCGGGTTCCCGGGACTTTAAATACTCGGGGAAATATCCCGGGTGTCCCGGACTTTAAATACTCGGGAAATTTTCCCCCGGGTTCCCGGACCTTCAATATGGAAAATATTCCCCGGGTGTGGCCCTTTTAAATCCCGGGGAAAAATCCCGGGTGAACCTTTAAAACCGGAAATTCCCGGGTCCCGGCCCTAAATTTTTTCGGAAATTTCCGGGACTATTAATTTTCCCCGGGTGATTTTAAAAACCCCGGTGATATTAATATTCCCGGTGCTATTAATATTCCGGTGACTATTAATATTTCCCGGGTATTAATTTCCCGGTGACTTTTAATACCCCCCGGTGATATTAATTTTCCCCCAGTGACTATTAATAATCCCGGGATTTAATTTTTCCCGGTGACTATTAATACCCCCTGATTTAAAATTTTCCCGGGGTGATATTAATATTCCCGGGACTAAATATTCCGGTGACTTTAATATTCCCCGGGAATAAATTTTTCCCGGTGACTTTTAATTTTCCCGGTGACTTTTTTCCATTGTTTTAAATACCCCGGGACTTTAAATCTGGGGGTGACTTTTAAATTTTCCCCGGGCCCTTTTATTCCCCGCTATTAATTCCCGGGACAAATACCCGTAAACTATTAATTTCCCCGGTGACTTTTAATACCCGGTGATTTTTAATATTCCCGGTGACTTTAATTTCCCGGTGACTTTTAAAAATTTCCGGTGACTATAATTTTCCCCGGTGACTTTTAATTTTCCCCGGTGACTATAAATTCCCGGGATATTAAAAATCCCGGGATATTAATTCCGGTGACTTTAAATACCCCCGGTGCTTTTAATATCCCGTGACTATTAAATATTCCGGTGACTATTAAACCCCCGGGTGACTTTTAATACCCCGGGTGACTATTAATATTCCCGGTGATATTAATTTTTCCCCGGTGTATTAATATTCCCGGTGACTATTAATATTCAGGGATATTAATATTCCCGGTGATATTAATTTCCCCCGGTGACTTTTAAATATTCCCGGGACTATTAATTTCCCCGGTGAATTAATATTCCGGTAAATTTTAATATTCCGGTATTTTAATATTCCGGGACAAAAAAATTTTTCCCGGTGCTTTTAATATTCCGGTGAAATTTTAATTTCCCCGTGATATTAATATTCCCGGGGGAAACTTTTTTAAAATTCCGGGATAATTAAATTTCCCGGTGATATTAAATTCCTGTAATTTTATGTACTCTACAATTCTGATTTCTTTTTAATAACTAGACAGTTCCTGTTTTTTTCTTTTCAAAAAAACTGACATTTAATACTGAAAAACCATGAATAGTTGCAATCCCCATGTTCAATCCCCAGTTGCAATCACCATGTTGCAATCACCAGTTAACACCATGTTGCAATCACCATTTTGGGAAAAATCTACCATGTTGGAACACCATGTTGAACCCACGCATTGGATCAACCATTTTTGGAATCACCATGTTGCAACCACCATGTTTTGCAACCACCATGTTTAACCCCCCATGTTGGAAATCACCACGTTGCAACCACCAGTTGCAACCACCATGTTGGAACCACCATGTTGGAATCACCACGTTGGCAATCACCAGTTGCAATCACCCATGTTGGAATCACCATCTGCAATCACAATGTTGCAAACATTACACCAGTTGCAATAAATTAATGTTGGAATCACCATGGTTGTGAAAACCACCATGTTGAAACCCACCATTTTGGGAACCACCATGTTGGAAACACCAGTTGGAATCACCACACGTTGCAAAAAAAAACCCACCACGTTGCAACCACCATGTTGCAACCACCATTTTGGGAATCACCAGTGGAATCACCATTTTGGGAATCACCATGTTGCAATCACCACGTTGCAAAAACCATTTTGGGAACCACCAATGTTGGAATAAACCAGTTGCAACCACCATTTTGGGAACCACCATGTTGCAACCACCATGTGGAATCACCAGTTGCAACCACCCATGTTGGAATCACCAGTTGCAACCACCATGTTTGGAATCACCATGTTGCAACCCCCAGTTGGAATCACCATGTTGCAAACCTTTCCCAGTTGCAACCACCAGTTGGAATCACCATGTTGCCAACCACCATGTTGGAACCACCATGTTGGGAATCACCATGTTGCAACCACCAGTTGGAATCACCATGTTGCAACCCACCATGTTGCAAACCCCATGTTGAATCACCATGTTGCAATCACCATGTTGCAACCACCATGTTGCAATACCATGTTGCAACACCATGTTGGAACCACCATGTTGAATCACCGTTTGAAATCACATGTTGCAATCACCTGTTGCAACCCCCATTTTGGGAATCCCCAAATGTTGCAATCACCGGTTGCAATCACATGTTGAATCACCATTGCAATCACACTGTTGCAATCACCATGTTGCAATCACCATGTTGCAACCACCATGCTGCAATCCCCATTTGCAATCCCCATGTTGCAATAAACATGTTGAAAATTGACCTTTGTACTCCTGTACCTAGATGGGTTAGGATCTCCATAGGTCACCCAATTTGTCTATTTTTGGGGCTATCCTAGAATATTCACACATGCGCCCCATACCTAAATAACCCCCCCCCCCCTTGCCTACTTCCTTAC